GTAGGCCTAACTATAAACAAAATCCTGACGTTCCAGAAATTGCGTAAAAAATCACGCCAATATTGACTTTAAAAAATCCCGTAATTTTACCAAATCCCGCCGATCCAGTTATTGCGTACAAAATCCCGTAATTTTACAAATGAATTCCCGTCCATCCCGAGGAACCCTAACAAAATTCCGGCGTGATGGGGTCATTCTGATGGAATCTCACTGAATCCCGATCGGGATCCCGATTTCATCTTTGATAGGGTATCTGTCATCCATATGTGATTTTGTTTGATTGTCACTATGGTTCTTGTTTCTATTTATGAAATATGGTACCGCGGTCTTATTGTGTCCTATCTTAAACTTTTGGACCAATGGGCCTTCGGACCAAATGGACCTTCGGACCAATGGACCTTTGGACCAATGGGCCTTCGGACCAATGGACCTTTGGACCAATGGGCCTTCGGACCAATGGACCTTCGGACCAATGGGCCTTCCGACCAATGGACCTTCGGACCAATGGGCCTTCGGACCAATGGACCTTCGGACTAATGGGCCTTCGGAATAATGATCCGTCCCCAGCTTTGAGGCTAAATTCTTGTCTAAATTCATAACTCCATAACGGAGGGTCGTATCACATATATTTTTCTGGAAAATCTTCTCAAAAGATTATTCTACACCACTATGTATGATTGAAAAAAAAAATTGAAAAATGTTTTTGACCCCATTTTTTTAACGCCGTGGCTAGAGATAAGGTACCGTATTTCTACTTCAATTTGCTAAAGGTACGGTAAATGGCATTACGTCACCATCACCCAATGAAGTGCCAGAATGTGTGTGACGTCATTTTTCAAGACTGGCATTGCATTGCAGATCACCCGCGATGAGCGGTGAAACGAGAACGATGTACAGTTCTGGGAAACTAGAACATCAAAAAGTACAATATTGTTTGACTTAGTATTGTTATCGATAAATAGGCTTATGTTTCCACTTAGTATCAGTGTTCTCCCGACGCCGGTTTAGCCGTCAATTTTACCGGTAAAAATAATCGGCCGACCGGTAAAATTTTGTTGGTTTAAAAAAAAAAACCCACTGAATTAGGCCTAGCTTTAGGCCTAGCCCGAGGCCAAGCTTAGTATAGGATCGGCCTTCCTTCTTCAGGCCTCGAATCATACATTAGCTATAATTTATCTCCAGTTTCATCAACGAAACTTACAAACCTTGATTAAAAACCACAATACTGTTCGTTGACAAAACAGCGATGAATGACAACAAATTTTTGATCGATCGACTCAAAAAAACAAACAAGCAAGCATCGCAAAACTTTCATCTCTCCCCTAAGCTGCAGGAATTTGTGCAATAGACTCGTAATCCAGACGAATTTTTTGAAACTGGTGTCGTAGTATTATACTTGTAGCAGTTTTTCAATACGTCTGGAATGAGAGTCTGAGTTGTATAAATTCCTGTAGCTTAGGCGGACTATCGTTCGCAAAAGTTTTCCAATGAATTGTTCGCTCTGGAATCAATCACGAAGAAACGAACTGGCCAAGCCAGACTGGAGGCGTTTTTTTTACAAAAAGGTTGGTAAGGTTTACTGAGTTTTAATGATGATGAGTTTAAATTATCTTTGAGAATTTCTTAGTTTATTTGATTTAATATGCCTAAATTTCCCCGATGTTTTAATGAATAAAAGATAAAATGGGACCTCCCTTCATTCATCATACATAGTGTACTTATAGCCGTTTACAAAACAACCACATTAACTTACTGTAGCGGCTCCTACCTATAACTGTCCAAAACCCAAGTGATATGCAAAGTAGAAAGGCTACGATAATGCTGTAATTAATAATAATAAAATCGTATCAATTAGCGCCTTTTTTAATCTCGGTTTCGGCGAGGCATGCCCTTGGCAGGCGCTTTTTGCATTTTTAGGGCAAAAGGATCACTAGCTTAGAGTAGTAGTTTATGGCCTGCGTGCGGAA